GAGGGGACCCGGTCTTGGTGTGGGGGGTGTCACCTCGGGGCCAGGGGACCAGGGCACGTGACATGGCTGGGTTGTACTCGCCTGGGTGCCGTGGGTCCCCGCGCCGTGGACTGTGGACGTGGCTGGTCACGCACAGGAGGGTGAGCACGGAGCCCCCGCAGGCCCCCGGCGAGCTGGGCGCCCCCTGACTGGCCCTTACCCCCTCAGGACAACTTCCCCAGATACCCCGTGGGCAAGTTCTTCCAATATGACACCTGGAAGCAGTCCGCCCAACGACTGCGCAGGGGCCTGCCTGCCCTCCTGCGCGCCCGCCGGGGTCGCATGCTCGCCAAGGAGCTCGAGGCGTTCAGAGAGGCCAAGCGTCACCGTCCCCTGATCGCCCTGCCCACCCACGACCCCGCGGCCCACGGGGGCGCCTCTCCGGAGGCGTCCGGCAATCAGAAGTGAGCCAAAATGTCGCGTAATTCTGCAAGATGGCACCGTCCACCTAGTGCCCTCCTCTTGACCAGGGGCCGTTCCACCGGGCCCCACCTCTGACATCTCTCGGGATCGCGTTCCCTCTGCGGGCTCCCCCATCCCCAGCCCCCGCGCCCCAACCTCCCCATGTCAGGCTCTTCTCTCCTTGGCCCCCTCCATCGGGCTGAGGAGATCCTAGCAACATCTCTAAAAGTGTACAAACTCGATTGGCTTTAAATATCCCCCAAATTATCCCCAAATTGTACAATCAAAAAACTAAAACTACGAACCCCTAAATCTCACACACACACACACACACTAGTCCCCTTAAAATGAATTGGCTTTTTAGAAACACCAGGAACGTTAATGAGCTAAAAACAAAAACAAAAAAAACTAAAATTATCAATTGGCTAAAAAAAAAAATACCCAAACTGAATTGGCTTAAAAACAATTGGCATCATGAAAGAATTAGGCCCCCCCCTTCCTTCTCTTTCCCAGGGACCTCGAGTCAGATTGGCCGTGAGCTCGGGCACCTGGCCTCCAGGAGAAAGGAAGGGACCCCAAATCTACAGGTAGGCACGTCATGGTCCACTGCCGGCTCTGGCCTCCTCAGGCAAAACTCTGGTCGCGTTTGGGGAGAATTGGTCATCCTCAGAACAGCAAAGCCCCAGACTCATTCCTTGCTCTGTTTCCCATCCTCGAAAGTCACCATGGAGCTAGATGGGGGTTCCCAGTGAGACCAAAGGAGGGGCGAACAGAACATGAACACCGAAATTTGTGAAAATAAACTTTAATTGGCACAAACCCCCATACACCCTAAAATCCATCCTCCCAAAACCCACATATCCCAACATCTTACATCTCAATTTCCACCCTAAAAAATACCCACACACCCACATGCATCCCTGCAGACACGCCTTACATGCATGCACACGCACACACACCCTTATGCACATGCACACTCACGCACACATGCACACACACACCCTCGCACCCATGCACACGCACACCCTCACACACACGCACACACATGCGCGCACGCACACACACCCTCCCACACATGCACACTGTCATGCACACGCACACCCTCATGCCCATGCACGCACACACGCACACAGATGGGTGAACCCAGCATGGTGCAGGTCAGACAGCATTCTATCTCAGACCCTTCTCTAAGTTGTTCGTTGGTGAGGTTTTCATGTCCTGTGCTCCCCTCCTGACCCCCGGGACGTGCTCCTCGGGTGGGAGAGGGTGCTCCCCACGGCCCCCGTGGTGTGAGCCCAATGCCCCCAGGGCCCACCAGCATCTGTGCCCTGTACCATCGTGTGGAGCAAGGACCAGGTTTGGCCAGACTGGAGGTGGCTGTAGCCGAGCAGAGACCAAGACGTGCCCTACCGCGGAGCCTGACCCCCTAGGTGTGCTCTTTGAGAAACATCTGGGACCCCCAGCACACCTAGGGACCATCCTTGCTGGCCTCCTAGGGGCCTCTCAGCAATGGGGGGCCCCCCAGGGGGCCAGCAACGATGGTGGGGAGTGTGGGAAGTCTGGCGGTTGGAGGGGCGGGTGGGGGGCAGTGGGGGCTGGGTGGGGGGATGCTCTGGAGTAGGAAGTGGTCCCGTGAGGTTTGGAGGAGTCAGGAGTCACGAGTGCAGAATTACAGATCCAATTAGGAGCCCAAATTTACGCCAATTGATCTATTCCCCCCCTTTAATTGGTTTCTCCTGGGGCTTTTTTCCTTTTTTTTTTTTTGATCCCTCCTTAGCTTTTTATGCACGCTCACATCAAATTAAACTTACCCCCGTCCCATGTAACAGGGGAGCAGTGACAAAGCAATGTACGAAGCCACCACCACCACCGCCGCGGCCATGCCGCACGTCCTGCTCTCCGCCATTTATCGCCCTGATTCGGTTTTTGTTTTTATCTGTCCCTGTCGCTTGGGTTGAGTTGAGAGTGGGGCCTCCGTGGGGCGCTGGCCACTGCACCCCACGGAGAAGCCAGAGGGAAAGGAGTGGGCCGCTGCCCGGCCTGGCCTTTGGGGACAGTGGCTGGTCCCCGGAGGTCCTGAGGGGCGGAGGAGGGGGTGGGGAGGCGTCTCCTCGGTGTCCGGAAGGTGCTCGGAGGCCATCGGGAAAGGGCCCCCGGCTGGCCCAGGCTGGCTGGGGGGGAAGGGGCTGCAGGTGTGTGAGTAGAGGGGCTCCATCGGGCTGGAGCAGGTGGCCGCCTTCCGTGCACTTGGGGAGCCCTCCCCTCACCCCTCGGTGACACCTTGCCCAGCTTCTCAGCACCCTGTCTTGCCCCCCGGAGGCTCAGAGCTCCGTGGGGCCTCTTGGGGCCCAGGCAGGGTGAGGCCGGGGAGTAGGGGAGGTCAGGAGGGTGTAGGCCCCGCAGAGCAAGGAGAGCTGTGAGAGTGGTCCATCGGCTGGGGTTGCTCGGGCCCCGAGGCCAATGGGTCTGGCGGTACCGAACCAGCCACCATCTCGGCGCCTAGGGCTGTGGCAGGGATCCGGGCGGCTGGGAGGTTTACCTCACCCCCGCTTTTGCCCCCAGCGCAGCCCCCTTGCACAACAGCCCGACTAGCATTCTAGAGGCCCAAGGCTTCTGGGCCCCAGTAACGGGGCTGGCACGACCCTGGGGGCGGTACGTGTCAGCCCACCAGTGGCACAGAGGGTCCTTCGGCAGGCGTCTGGGGAATGGGCCATTCGGAACATTGGACAGAGCTGAAAAGAGCCAAATTGTTGTAATTGGGACCCAGACAGATTGGCCTGAGATCCAAAAAGACTTGGAGGCAGCCCAAATTGCCTGCCCATTCTGCCGGACACCCATCCCACCCAGTGTTACATTCTGCCTCTCGTGGGGTGGGTGCTCCAGGGCCGTCTGCCGACGCTCCTCTGTGTCCCCCAGCAAGCAGCTCCCCCAGGGTCCCCAGCCATCCCGACCCGGGCCCCCGTCTGACCTCCTGAGCCCTGGCTGTGGCCGTCCATCTTTTCTTTCCCCTCAACTGTCTTCAGTGGGACCCCTCTTGGGTCCCCCCCACCATCGCCTGAAGAACCCCCACGTGCCGAGCACCCAATGTCACCTCACCCACTGTCGCGGTCCATCTGGCAGTGGCCGTGCGGGCCTCAACTCGACCCCTTTAACATGCTCATATTTCTGGCAAAATTCATTGCTTGGGTTTTGTCTTTAACATTTATCGCTCGCAATCCCAATAAAGCATTCAAATTTATCTTGTTCTGAGTCCTCTGCTCTTTTACGCGCCTACGGGGTCAAGGGGGGGTGCCTGGGGGTGTGGGCACCCCTCTGCTGCCTCACAGCATGCATGGCCAGTGAGAACAGCCTGAAAGCCTGCACACTCTCAGCAGCGACCGTGGCCACCTGCTTGGGGCCAGGGGCTCTGGGACAATCTTAGCCACCAAATCCTCAAAGATGGGGTGTCCTGTGGCAGGAGGGGCTCCCGGGGGGGTGGTTTCCAGGACCCACTGATGAGAGGTGAAGTGCCTTCACTGCCAATCCCAGGGACCTCTCCCAGCCTGGGGGAGGGTGCGGGGGGCCCACCGGGTTCTAAAATGTTCTGGAAACTAGCTGTTGCTAGAGATGGGGATTCATGTCGCCTGCCTGCCCAGTGGCACACACAGACATGCTCAGCCTCCCCCCAAGATGGAGGCTGCAGCAGAAATCCCCTCCTCCTCAGCCCTGCACCCCTCTCCCTCACTGCTCTAGCTGCTGAGCTTTAGGGTCCCCGGGCTTGCCGACCTTGGTGAGGTTGGCATCGGTGACACTTGAGGCCTGAGCTGGACACCTCCCCGCCCCGGCCCCCAAGCCCTGGGTCTGCAGGTGCACTGTGGTGGGTAGAGGGGCGGTGGGGCCAGGCAGCTTTCAGCGAGCAGACTCAGGGCTCGGTCTGGGTTGGGGGAAGGCCTCCCACCCTGAACCCTGTCCTTCTTTCTGTTTCTAGTATTTTCGAGTATTTCCCGGCCTGGTGCTGGGCCGCAAAAGGCTCAAAGCAAGTCCCCCAAGGGCTCGGGTGGTGTCCACGTGCTGCCCACGCTCACTGCTCTGAGAATTCCAAGCAGGGGGCTGGGGGGCTGCCTGGAGGAGGTAGGACCAGCCTCCAAGGGTGAGGGAAAGAGCCAGTTGGATAGGGACACTGCGCCCATCTTGGGGCAGCCTGGGCCTGACAGTGGTGAGGCTGGGGGCCCAGGCAGGGCAGAGGGCCCAGGCCCAGCAGTGCTGGCACACCCCACAATGAACCACCCTGACCAGGTCTCCTCACCCTGGAAACCAGGTCTGAGCCTGTCTCCCACCAGCCTGATGCACCACCCGCCCCCGAAGATCCACTGGCTGGCTCCCCTCGTGCGACCCTTGGGGCACTGGGCTCAGGGTCCCTCTTCCTCCCAGCTCTGGGCAAACCATGCCCTCTCCAGCTCCCCCCACCTGCTACACCCAGGGTCCTCGCTCACAACCTCCTCTCCCTCACTGCAGCCCAGCCCACCTGCACCCCTGCCTGTGCTGGCTTTCCCCAAGACCCCTGCTGCCCCTCCTGAGTTCCTGGCAGCTCCCAACCCTGCTCCACCCCAGTGCTGAGGCTACCCCCGCCCCAGCTGCTTGGGCAGCCGAGCCCCAGGTCTTCTGGGATGCCCAGCTTGGCTTTTCTCCCCTCTCTCTGCTCTGTAAACTCTCAGCTCATCCCTGAGGCCTCACTCATTCATTTGTTCGTTTTCTCACATGTGTGGATGAATACCCCATTGGCAGGGCACCCCAGGCTCAGTGTCATGGAGGGAAATGTTGGGGTGCTTTTTGAAGCAGATGGGTCTCATGGAGAGAGTAATTTTGGAGTGCAGGCCTGAAGGAGGTGGGAGGCATGGGGTTCTCCTGGAGGGAGGGGTGGAGAAGGGCCTCCCTCTGGGGAGGCTGGGGGAGGGGTCCGTGGGGGAGATGAGGCCAGGGTGGGAATGGGGGCTGTACAGGCCATTGTCACTCACTCAATAAACATTTACGGATTCCTACAGGGCTGGGCTGAATGGTGCTCCCCCAAAACACCCCATGTCCCCATCCCAGCCTCTGGAGCCTGTGAATTCGACCTTGTTTGGAAAAAGGGTCTCTGCAGGGGTCAGTGAGGGATGGGCTCCTCCCAGATTACGGTGGGCCTCAGTCCAAACACAGGTGTCCCTGTGACAGGAGAGAAGGGGGCAGGCCCGCAGGGGAGGGCCCGGTAGAGCCCCCGGGGTGGGGGGAGGCAGGAGGAAGCCCCCCTGGAGGCTGGCAGGGGGCTCGGCCCTGGGACACCTGCATTTCAGTTCTGAGAGCCGACTTTGGATTCCGGCCTCCAGAATCAGGAGAGAAAGGATTCCGTCCTTCGAGCGGCTCAGCTTGTGGTCACTTAGGAAAATTACATGAGGAGGCACCTGCTCTGCCCCAGTCTCTGTTCCAGGTGCTGAGGCCACTGTGAAGCACAGAGCAGGTGGCATGCCCATCCTGGAGGAGCCTCGGGTCCATGGTCCCACCACCCCAGGCCGCACCCGGGCACCTCCCTTGGATGGTTCTTGCTGATCTCCGCTCCGACCACACGGAGGTAAACACTTTTAAAACAGCAGAGCAGGCCCACTTCTGTGAAGTCCCCATGAGGACCCCTGGGTCTGGGCGGACTCACGAGCATGTTTCTGCCTCAGGGCCTTGGCACGGGCTGCCTCTGCCCGGGCTGCTTTCCCGCAGACACCTGTCCGTCGCCCTCCTTACAGTAAACTCTGCAGACTCGGACTCCCCTCGGGGAAGCCCTCCCCCAGCGCCCTCTCACCAGGGTGATCGGGGCCTGCGTGTCCCCTCACTGCGCTGGATGCAGAGGGTGACACTGAAGCCTGACTGTGAGTGGTGGGAAGGAGAGGGGTTGTGTGCTGAGCTGGAGACACGGACTAACTTTCTGGGCTACCGACAGCCACTTGGGTCTCCGTCCCACATTCTCACAGAGCTGCAAGTGGCATCTGCTGTGGTCTGCCCAGCTCCCTCGACGTCCTGCAGACCCCTGACCCAGTGTGCGCATGGCCACCCCTTGCCCGCTCCAGGGTGCCCTGCCCTCCCCCCGCAACAATTCAGCTGGCCCACAGCTCCACCAGGCCCTGGACACGGCTGCTGCCTGCTCGTCTCCCCTATGGCTGCCCTTCCATATGCTCTGCCAGCCTGCCGCATGCCACCCTCCCCTCAGGACCCTCCATCACTCCCATGGGCCACTGGGTAGAGTGCAAACCCCAGACCAGGCTTCCTCTGGGCCCTTAGCACCTGGCACCCCACAGTTCTTTGGTTATTCGCTGAGCCTCCCACCCCACCTTCACACCTGCTGTCTGCTCCCTCCTGGGCCCTTGGGCATCTGCTCTTACCCTGGTAACAGCCCCCCTCCAGCATACCCTCCATCACTCAGCACGGCGACTGCCACCTGCCGCCGGACGAGCCAGGAAGACACAGGGGCGCTGTCGTTGCCGCCTGCGGAAGGGTCCCCCCAAGCCCTCCTGCCCTGTGCAGCCTCAGTGCAGAGCCGGCCAGGAAGGCCCTGGAGGGTGCCCCGAAGGGCTCTGGCACACTCCCTCACCCAGCTGCTCTCCCTCTCCTTCCTAGAGGCCTCCTTGCCTTGGACCGCCTGCCAGGCTCTGGCCCCTGGGCCTCATCCCCAACAACCTGTGTCCACCCGCCCTGCTGGCCGTGGCCCCCAGGGCCCCCGCTCCTCCCTGCCCGGACCTGGCACACAGCTGGGGCTCCCTCCCAGGTGTAGCCAGATCAGGGGGCCACAGAACAGGCGGCACAGGCCCCCACCCCAGCCTCTACCTGCCCAGTCCCTCTGGTCCTGGGGGGCAGCGGCCTCAGGCCTCCTAGCGCAGCCCCCAGCCTCTCTCCCTGCTCCCAGCCCGGCCAGCCCAGGCCTCAGCCGGCCAGAAACCAAAGAGAAAATGCCTGTTTATGCCAGTTACGCCGAAAGCAAAACAGTTTGTGGTTTGTGACCCAAATTTTTTGCCTTTTTTTTCAGAACATAACAAAGCTCAAGACAACTCCCTCCCCCCCACACCCCCCCCCACCCAGGCAGACAGAAATGATCTGTTTACACTGGCCGCAAAACATTCCTGGCCCGCCAGCCCGGCCCTCTCCCCCAGGCCGTGCCCTCAGCACTGAGCAGTGGAAGGGGTGCGGGGGGCCTGACGAGGGGGCCACAGGCTGGGTCGGGGTGTTGGTGACTGGAGCATCCTGGGGCCAGGACTATTGGGGTGCCCATCTGTCTGGTTGGAGGGGCTTCCACACGGCCCTG